CTCTCTCTCTCTCTCTCTCTCTCTCTCTCTCTCTCTCTCTGTCTGTCTCAGATATAACAAAAACAAAACAAAAANAAAAAAAAAAAAACAAGAAGGGGAAAAAGAGGGGAAGAGGGGGGGGGAGAAAAAGGACTTACAATGCCAAAAGTAATAATAGTCAATAACCCCTTAATCAAAAACGCAGCAAGCAAATTCGCCAGCGCAGGCGGGATATCCCCCTTCTCGGTCGGACACAGCCCTAAATCCTCCAGATTCTGATCGCGATCATCGCACGGAGCGGCCAAATTGTACAACAACTTCGCCACCGGCAGCTTGGTGAACACATTCCAGTAGCTCACCAGACCCGTCACCAACGCAACCAACATGACCTCCAACATAGGGTACTTCTTAATCATCGGAATCTTCCGAAAAGTCTTCGCCCAGCGCCGCGAAGCCTTGATGAACAGCGCTCCCGCGGCACCACCCAACACGCCCACGATAATGAAACTCAGTATCTCAAAGTACTCCCAATCCACTAGATACCGCACCTGGAACATGACAATCTTATGCGTCCCATACGGATTCAAAAACTTGAGCGTCAGCGCAGCAGTAATACAGCAAAAGAACGTGCGGAAGAGCGTCTTGGCCGGGAAGAAGTACGCGACCTCCTCCAGGCCAAACAGTACCCCTCCCAACGGCGCGCCAAACGCCACGGCAACACCAGCCGCGGCGGCGGCGCTGAGGACCTCACGGCGCTTCGCGTCGTTGCGGTCATACTTGCTGAACAAACGGCACGCGATGTTCCCCACGCAGGTGGCGATATGCACGTAGGGGCCTTCCTTGCCGAGGCTGAGGCCGGACGCGACGGAGAGGATCAGGCCCATAGACTTGATGATGAGGGTTTTCAGGCCGAGGAAGCCGTGCAGGACGAAGCCGGATAGGATGACGCGCACTTCGGCGACGCCGCTGCCGGCAGCAGAGTAGTAGATCATGGGGGGCGACGCGGCCGGGTGTTCCTTAGGCACGATAGGCGAGGACCGCACGGGGCTGGTCTCGGTGCCCGCATCGCTGTCGGGGGGCGTGGCCGGGTCGGCGGCGAGGTTTTCATCTAGCGTGCTCAGCCGATAGGCGGAGGGCACGACGGTCTTCGTAGTCAAGGTAAGCAAGCAAGACAGACAAGCCAGCGTGATGACGGCCGCGATGTAAACCGCGTACTCGGTCCAGCGCTCGCCGAACGGCCAGCCCTGCAGCACCTCGCCCCAGTCGCGCCAGTCAGTGCAGGGCCCGTGGGGACAGCACTTCTTCTCGGAAATGAACCACCCCCGCCGGCAATAGCCGTCCTTGAAGTCAAAGACGGTGGCCTCCGAGACATTGATGACGTATGCAAGTACAGCCACGACAAACCCGACCAGGGCGCTGAGGATCCAGCCCTGGGCGCCGTCGAACAAGAGGTAAACACGCCCCCAAAAGTCCTTGCGGCTGCGCAGCGCCTTCTGGCGGTATGAATCGGCAATGGTATCGTGCACCCAGTCGGTGGACGTAAACTGGTCGTACCACACGCGGTCGTCGGGGAAGAAGAGCGAGCCGTGGGAGTCGGCGAGGTCAGGGCGGTCGTTGTTCTGGCGGTCAGAAAAGGCGTTCATGAGGCGCGAGCCCCACGAGTTGGCGCGGCTGTGGTGCCGCGTGCTCTTGACACTGTCGGCGTAGCTCTGGTTGCGCGAGAGGATGGGCACGCGGGGTGAGCCGTGGGCGCTGTGGATGCGGATGCGCGACGTGCGCGAGCCCGTGAGCAGCGGGGACCGCTCGTCGGGTCCATCGCCTGTAGATGGACGTCTGCTCATTGTCGGGCGGCGAGTGTTGGTTGGTGAGTTAGGCAGAGAGAGGTAGGTGCCATAGGTATTGTTGCTGGCGTCCGGAGCACCGTCGTCCTCGCGGATCTCGAGGCGAGGCCCTTGTCGGCCTGCCATGGTGACGGTGACAAGGGGGGGAGGGGGGAGGGGGTTCTGTTGTTTTGTGCTTCCCGGAGGGGGAGTATAAGAGCTTCTAAGAGCTGATGTGAACTTGCAGAGAACGGTTTGGGTCGGATTGGATGGATGATGGATGCTGAAGACAGGAATGAGCGAGACTTGATCGGAGGTTTTTGTCGGATGTTCGTCCGAACTGCTATGCTATCTTTTATCTTGTATCTTCACTGAGCCTGTGAGGGGGTGAAACATGGCATCATACGCCACGAGAACAGCGAGCGGGGGTTTGTGGAGAGGCTGTGAACAGCGGACAGTGACCGTTGTTTGGAGGCTGGAAGTGGGACAGCCAAACGTTGACGTCCACAGGGGGATAGGAAGGGGAAGGGGAAGGGGGGTTTTTCTTCCGAGAATAACGACACTCGAGACGGAAGAGGAATTGAGAGAGGCAGGGCAACGCGGGTGCAGCAAAAAACACAAAAACCAGTAGAAAATGCACAATCGCACAAAGATCACTAACCCAGCAGGAGCAGGCCCGCACGGGCAGCGTTGGGCGTCGAGAGATTGTCCCTTATGACCCTGGTGTTCTGAGTGGAGGAGGAGAGATGGAGATGATAGACTGGAGGAGAGATTGGAATCAAGGACATGGATGACATGGATGGAGGGCATCCACCCCCCCCCCGGGGGGAAGTGGCCCGTGTTTTGGCTTGGCTGTTTGGCGTTTGGCGTCTGGCGTCGCTGTTGTCTTCTAACGAGTGAGATCCACCGCTTGGCCTGCCCGGATCCACTGCTTGCTGCAACCAAGGCCCACTCATCCTCCCTCTCCACTGGCTGCCTTCACTGATAGGCGAGGAGCCTGCTCAACGCCCCACGTGCCTCGCCTGTGTGTCGGACGGGCTGCAACCCTGTGCTGAGCCCGAGGCGGACAGAGCTGAGATGGTTGCAGTCATGCGATGCGATGCCTCTGTGTGTGTTGAAAAAACTTGAATTGGTGTTGAGAAGGTTGAGAGGAAATATGAATTGCCATTGTCGTGAGAATCGAAGGATCGAAAGGGTTCCAGTCGGTTCGAAGCCCCTCAGCCGGGTATCGGCAACTCCCCTAGCGTAGCGTTAACTCACCCATTCCGTTCACTCCATTATCGCCAAAGCAAGCTGCAACAACCAAACAGCCTGCTTAGGGTTCCCTTACTGTCATCCGGGCAACAGCTCGTTTTTCGACCTTTACCGTTGGTCCGCCGCAGCTAACTGGCCGGCTGGCCGGCTGGTTAGAAAAAAAAAAAAAAAAAAAAAAAAACGAGGGATCGAACGGTCTGCTGGGGTCTCCCGATGTCATCCCTATTGTGCTGCTGCATGCCGCCCGCCCGCCTGCCTGCCGGTCTCCTGCATCGGTGCCATTCTTGACTTCTTCCCCCCCTCTCCTCTGATGTCATCGTCAGATCCGCCCACACGTGCCACATCAATGTCTGTAGGCCCACAATGCCAAGAGTAGGCTAGCCTTTTCAGGCTAGACGCGTATAGATCCTCAGATCGGCTTCTTCCTAGTTGGAGGAGGCTCATGCGAGCGCGGGCTGAGAAGACAACCGTCGATGGCAGTTGGTCGACGACATTGCTTTAGTCGGAGAAAAGGGCCGGGGTTTCGTGTTTGGATGAGAGATTGAACCATAAGGAGGATTTTTGAGGATGACAATCCTCTATCCGATGTACTTCGCTGCGCGACGCAGGAGTTGCTGTAACTTTGAGCCTTGGCCATGTAATTTTACGGGCTTGTGCAACATGCTAGGCTATTTTTGGAATGGTCTCCATAACATTACCAGGGTTAACGCAATACCATCGTAAACGTTGTTACGTTCACTTTTCACCAATCTATCGCCATCTATCTCACCATCGCCATCACACACCCGGCCTGGCGCATTATCAGTTCCTTTTACGGAAAAGATGCTAATATGATGATACATAATGGAGGGAACTGATGGTCAACCAAAGCGCCAGCGCGAGATCCCCAAGTTCGCGTCCTTCCAGCCAAAATCTGAGCCCAAGTCGGATAGTAAGGTTGAGAAGGTTTCAGGCTCAGAAAAGGAACGCGGACGGTCTTCGGCATCAAGAGAGGAATCCAAGAGGCATAGGGACGACGGAAGGCGGCGTGATAATCGTTCGCGGTCGCGCAATCGCGATAGGGACCGTGACCGGGTAAGAGACTGGTCAAGGGAGCGGGATCGGGAGCGTGAAAGGGACCGTAACAGGGACCGGGACAGGGATCGGGACAGATCTCGGGATAGGGACCGTAATAGGGACCGGGAGAGAGAGAAGATTAGGCACCGCGACAGAGCGAGATCCCGCGAGAGGGATGCGTCCCGCGAGCGGCATCACAATAGGGAAAGGGACCGCAATAGAGACCGCGATCACAACAACCCCCGTGACCCGCGGTTTGAACCCAATGACCTCTACACCATAGACACAAAAGGAGACCCCCTAATCCTCCAATACGGCTACAACGACCCGGCCAAAGTGCCCCACTACCGCCGACGCAACGGCCGCGTCCTGGGCTCTGACGGCTGGCTGATCTGGCACGACGACACCTTCCCTCCAACCTTCTCTATCGTCGAACGCCGGCCCGGCTCCGAGGATGCTGTGCCCGTTCTGAGGGATAAGACCCTCATGTCGGCAGCGAAGAGGATCAGGGCGAGGAGTATCAAGCCGCCGGAGGGGGAGGAGGGGGCACGGGTTGACTTTGGGGCGGATTTTTATCCCTCTGGAATAGGGGAGGGGAAGGGAGAAGGGAAGGGGAAGGGGAAGGGGAAGGGGAGGGAGGATAGGGAGAGGGAGACGTCGCCGGGATTGTTGCCAGAGTATCGATCTGTGTATACGCTTAAGCCTAAAGACAAGCAGCCTTCTCCCGACAGCGACTCCTCAGGCTCAGGTTCAGACTCCGAAGCTGAACAGGACCTCCCCCTCCCCGAAACAACCCTCCGGGCCCGCAACCTCTCCCACTCTCTCCTTTCACATATTAAGTCTAACCCCTCAGATATCCCTTCCTACCTAGCCCTCATATCCCTCCAGCCCCACCTCCCCCCTTTCTCCTCCAAATCCGCTCTCACTCTCCCCGAGTCTAAAGCCCTTGCCTCACTGCGTCTAGACCTCTACCAGCAGGCACTGCAGCACTGCCCCCGGGATGCGCCAGAGAGGGAGAGATTGCTATTAGGCATGTTGCGTGAGGGGGGGAAGTTGTGGGAGCCCACTGTCACGAGGGAGAAGTGGAAAAAGGTCGTCGAAGAGAACGGCGGATTTGGGGTTTGGAGGGGATGGGTTGATTGGGAGATTGGGAGGGTGGGGGGTTGGGGAGTTGAGGAGGGACGGGAGGTGGTTGCTAAAAGATTAAGAGAGGTTGAAGATAGGCTTGCTGCCTCATTATATTCTGTTGAGGGGGCTGTCAGGGAGGAAGATGTAGATGCCCTGTGTGACGAAGCAGTCTACATCTTCCTCCGCTTAACCCGGCTGCTCCACGACGGGGGGTATACCGAGCTGGCAGTTGCCGCGTGGCAGGCCGTTCTCGAAACCGTCTTCAACCGCCCCGCCGGGCTCATCAACGCCGCTCGTGACGCTGCCCTAGACGAATTCGCCTCCTTCTGGGAGAGCGAAGTCCCCCGGATCGGGGAAGACGGCGCCAAAGGTTGGCGGGCGTGGCTCGAAGCCGGCGGCGACGACGAGCTTCCCCTTCCCGAGCCGACGGCTACCTCACCCCAGGCCGTGCATCCCAAACGAACAGGAGACCCCATCCTTGACTGGGCTGCCCTGGAGCTTTCTGCAGCAAGCAAGACACGTCTCCCAGCCCGCACCCTCGACGAGGGCACAGACGACGATCCGTTCCGGGTCGTCATGTTCTCCGACCTGCGCGATCTGCTTATCTGGTTCCCCTACCCCCGGACTGCCGCGCGTCATCCCCAGGCTGACGGATGCGTTTCTTGTGTTTTGTAGGCTACCTCCCGCCGGGCTAGCCCCCGAGGAGTTTTCCGTTCTTCTTAATGATTCATTTGTTGTTGGCAGGGGACAGTGGCACGACCTGGAGCACAACAGGCCGGGGTTGATAAACGAAGAGGAGGAAGATGTCTCGAGGAAGAAGCCACAGTTTCGCCAGCAGGGAGGGGGCATGACTATGTCCCAAGCGGTGTTGTTTTCTGATGGGGAGACTTGGTTCCGGTACTTGGATGCCTGGTCGGCTGTGTTTAGAGAAAGGGATAGCCAGGTTGATGCAGGCTGGGTGAGGAGGACGTTGAGGCATGTGGTTACTGCCGGGGGCGTAGAGGGACTCGCGGAGTATTACCTAGCGTTGGAGTGGGTCAATGAGCCGGCTGGGGCGAGGAGGGTTGCGAAGGGGTTGTTGAGGCAATATAGTGGGAATTTGAGGCTGTATACGGCGTATGCGATGGTTGAGTGGGTGAATGGGAATGGGGAGGTTGCAGAGAAGGTGTTGGCTTCGGCGACGAGGTTGGTACAGGTATGTTTTCCCTTCAGATAATTTACGTGGACGGTGCTGACTGGTCTAGCCCTCAACTCGTGGAGCACAACTGCTCTGGAATACCTGGGCCTGGATGTACCTCTCCTCCGGGCAGAAAGATACAGCACTTGCTCGACTATGCTCGTCAGTCGACCGTAGCTCTGACACTATCTTGACGGTCTCTCCTGCCTTGCTGCTCCGGGCCAGATCACACTTCTCTGCTACTCGCGATTATGCCTTATCTTCACATGATACCGAGACCGCCACGCTGTATGCAGAAAGTCTGATGCTTCTGGAGTATATGTCCTCTGAAGGCAGCGAGGCAACGACCTCCGAGAAGCAGGGCAACCTTGCTGCAGCACTGGAAAGTGTACACGCCTTTAGTAAGGAGCTTAACTCACGAGGACAGGGGAAATCTTCGCATTTTCAATGTCTTCTGCAGTCAGCAGCGAGGTTGGCGTATTACCACGCGACACATGGGTAAGTTCTCTCTCTCTCTCTCTC